TGAAAAGCATTTCATCGCTCTTCGTTCACTATCGCATCATTGTACAGCGAAATACAGTGAAGCAAACTTCGCTGATCGCTACCAAACTCGCAATGCATGCAAAGTTAGTGGTTAAATGTAATGAACAGAGATTAGATTTATTTTGAGGAAGGGAGAAGAAGATAAACCACTACGGTCAACACACAGAGGGCGCACTTGAACTCCGCATACATACCGTTTCAAGCATTCTGACCTGATAAGAAACGACAACAAGAACGCCACTGCTGCCGGTTCGCTGTCATATCCTTCAACGTCTCCAACCAACTAGTTGTGGAGTCTTTCGGCCCCCAACCTGTAAGGCAAGAGACACCTACTCTACCTAATGGCTCTGTGCATTTCTTCATGCCTCATCTCCACGTTTTCCGTTGAACTCCACGTGGTTTCCTCCAGCCCGGATTAGCTACAGCTAATAAAGCGCGGTGTGGCAGACGATGGCTGGGCATACGCAATACGCGCCTTAGCCAGCGAAGCCTAATAATCTGAATTCGGTGTGCTAGTAGGTTTACACCTGACAGAATCCCAAACACACGACGGCTTACTAACCCATTCAGTCGATCCACCGTGGGTGAAACTGCTTAAACACCGATAACCGAAAACTTCTAATCAACGGATATCTTCTATTCTCAAATACAGGGTCTCAAAACCATAAAGCAGGACTGAAGGAATGCTAGAACAATATACAACATCTTTCAACTTCAGTCAAACGTCGCGTCTACACCAAAGGTGTTTCAGTCCGGCGTATGCTGCTCGAGCCTTAGAAATGCGTCCGGTAATCTCCTTTGCTGCACTACCGTCATTGGTCACGCAACTACCTGCATAGGAAAAGTAATCCACCACAACTAAATCCTGGCCATTTAGTTTCAGAGTGGGAGTAGATGAAACCCAGTCCTGCAGCGTCACTTTGCACTCGGAAGGTGCAAAGTAAATACCGAATATGGTTACTGCATTTGTTAATCTATCAAGTGCGCTTTGCGCGTCCTCCATACATTCGAACAGACAGACGATGTTATCGACGAACTCCAAATCTCACAGTTTTTCTCCAGCTGTCTATTCAATACTTACGTTTTGGAGTCTCCTTAGTGCTCTCTTCAGTATTTCGTCTACGACGAAATTGAACAGGAACGGCGAAAGGGAGCACCCTTGACGAACGCCGCTGCTGGAGACGAACAGCCTACTTAGTTCGTTGTAGATCCTCACATGACCGGAGGTCTGTGAGTGCAGTGACCTCAGTAGGTAAACGTACTTCTGGGGCATTCCTTTTCGAAGAAGGCAGCCCATCAAAACTTTGCGATCAACTGAGTCAAAGGTTCCTTTCTGGTCAAGGAGCACTGCAATCGTTGACTGAAGTTGAGTATGACGCAGCTTAACGAGCTGACGCAATGTAAAAATCTGATCAATACATCCACGGCCAGGCCGGAATCCGGCCTGCTGTTAACGGATGCTGGTCTCTATTAGAGGCGTAAGATGTCAAAATATAACTGTAGCTAGCACTTTGGTGACGATCGGGACCAAAATGAACCCGCGGTGGTTTTCGCAATCGTCGCGGGATCCTTTCTTAAAAATGGGAACGATCAGTGATTCGCCCCAAGATGAAGGAATGAGTTCTTGCATCTAAGTGTTGCGCAGTAGAGCAGTAATAGAGGTTAAGAGGTTATCACCTCCTATCTCGAAAACAGTGGGAGGGAGCTCATCAGATCCTGCTGCCTTTCCTTGCTTCAGAGCTTGAATGCGAAACCGAATTTGTGCTTCCGTTGGAGGATCGCATGACACTGCCCAAGGAGTTTCAGTCGGAGATGAGGCAGCCTGGTTAGCACTAGGCCAGTTGAACTGTTCGTTGAAGTATTCTGCCCAGCGATTGATTCGTTGATGCCTATTGTGAATAGCTCGTCCCCTCTTATCGGAGACTGTTTCGCTAACCGCGGTTCGCCGACCTCCCGTATTGCGTATCAGTCGGAACTGTCTTTGACTATTCCCTGGTGCAGCTGCTACTTCCATTCCGCTAGCTACTGTTGCCCACCAGTTCTCACGGTTCTTCTTGAGGCTCTTCGTGAGCCGACTTTGTAGCCGCCGCCTAACTATATTTTGATCCTGGCAGGTCGGGATCTACCGTTTTTACTCAATCAGGCCTACTGACTCCTGAGATATCCAATACCTCCGACGGATTTGAGGCTCAGACCCACAAGCAACATTCGCTGCGGAATGCATTACTTGCCTAATCTGATCCCACTGTTCGTCAGCATCACCACACTGAAGCGCACTTGGCTTACGCACTAGCTCTGACTCATAGAGTGCATGAACTACTGGAGCAGATAGATGTTGGTGAGCTATCCGAGCTTGCTGGTTTTGTCGCCGACCAGTCAGCCGGAGAGTGAACTGTATCAGAACTAATGCGTGGTCAGACTTGACGCAGGTGCTCCAATAGGACCTGCAATTTTGCACTGAGCCACACCAACGGTAACTTACTGCGATGCGATCGACTCGAGTTAGCGACACAGTTAAACTGAAGTGCCACGTTACCGTCCGTCTAGAGCTGTGTCGGAAGTTCGTGCTTGATAGAAACAGATAACGGTCTGCGCAGAACTGAAGAAGTCGATCGCCGTTATCTGTTCGTTGGCAGGGCAGAGCACAACTACCGCCCAGGCAAGCTTCTGATGTGCTCAGTTTTCCAACCTGCGCGTTGAAGTCACCTGCAAGTACAACTATGTCGGAGTTTCGACTCATCCGAATGCGATCGGTGAGTTCATCGTAGAAAGCGTCCTTTTGGGTATCAGAACTGCAGTTGGTCGGTGCATATGCTGATACGATTAACGAATACCTTTTGGTGTTGCTTTCCTTCCAGACGTTGATTGAATCCTGGAAACGCACTGCACATAAACGACTGTTGACGGGGATCCAATCGAGAGAGGACTCCGCCCTATTACGCAGTACAATACCTTGGCCGCGCTGCCTACTGAACGAGCTTCATTGTCGCCTGATGTGCGAAGAACGTATCTCGTCGACAAATCTGGAGCGCCCAAGTAGCTTAGAGTAGCAGGATCCTGAATCCGAGTTTCCAACACGCAGCAAATATCGATTCCTATGGATTCCATTGCACGAGCCAGACAAGCTTGTTGACCTAGCTGCATCAAGTTCCCTACGTTGAAGGCCCTCAGATTGAGTGATTACCGAGGCTTTAGAATCTGCAATCCATTTCGTGGTATATCACTTACAGTGCTATTTGGCAATAACCTTTGGCGAGCGACATCGAAGTTGCTTGAGGGACTATCACAGGTCGGTACAAGGGGTAAAGGGAGAGAGTTCGGAACGGAAGATAAAGAGTTAAACAAAGGTTGGGATATCTGAGCTGTAGCTCACTTATCACCACCCACCCCGCTCGATGCAATGGGAAGCGCGGTCCTGATTATCCTGCGCGACGACCGATGCAGTATGGAATTATTTTTATTTCGTGTATGATTTGGGGTTTGGTGGACGGCACTGCTAGCATGTCTAGCCACTAAGCAGGAGAACGATTAGGGTTCTCGTCCGAAGCATTTAGTTCTAACAAGAACCTAATTGCAAGGCAGCGGGTGAGACGAAGTGGAGGCCTATTTACTTGAATCGATTACTCCTCCACCGTTTTTTGTCGACTAAAACGCCAAATTCCAGTCGAACGCCCAATCTGGAGGACCAGGAGACTGAACTTCGTCTGACCTCTACCCACTGACCTTCCAGGCATGATAACACCTCCTGGCTTTATAAAGTCATCCTGTGTAGCTCGTTGGGTCACAGAGGTGCAGAAGCCATCACACCACGTCAAGGTGTAGTCTCGTCCTGATAGAATACTGTTGACAGAAGAAAATCAACTTTCACATCAAATGTCATGTGAATTTTGCTGCTATCTAACGCGCATTCATATGTGGATACGATTTTACCTTTTGCTACCCGAAGACACCGGGATGTAAAATGTATTCAGCTACTGAAGCCTGCGTCAAATGCTCAAAATTATGTGGCCCGACAAGATGTTCTGTGAAGAGCCAGGGGGATAGTTGTGCGGCATTGCAAACTGCCCTTTGTCCTCCAGGTTCATCGGGTAAACTGACTGGAAAAAAACAAAAGGCAAATTGAGAAGAAGATAATCAAACAGACATTCAGTCCTGATTCCTGTAGTGATTGACGCTGTGACCTTGGTGGACAGTTCAAAATATGAATGGACATCTCAAAGGAAAAAGTGCAGCTCCTTGTCTTCCAATTACTCTATGGGGTCCATCAGCCATCAGCTCTTTATTCACTGTCACTGTGAAGTACCATTATTCTGATTGTTGCGTTCTGTTGAGTGAGTGCTTATTTTATACAAAAGTTTCGTGGGATATGTTTGAAAGCTTATTGAGCTCATTTGGCGTTCTTTCCATGCAGGAATGTATGGCAGAGATTGGCCTGGAGTACAGACGTTTGGTTCAGGTAATACGATATTATATGAAGTATGACAAGAAGAGTATGCACTCTGAAATGGAGCGCCGTTTTTATTTCGAAAAGATAAAAAAATGACGTTACATCAATACTCTCCCATTCTCTTGTCGTCAAGATCAACCAAACATTGGGATAAGTTGTAGTTAGGGTCAAGTAATTTTAATCGCTGAGAAAATAATGCAGTGGGTCTTTTCCAGTCAGCGCCATGGGTTTAGATTAGCTTCTGTTTATGTGTGATATTTAGCCTTTTACCTGTTTTAACTGGCTACAATGAAATCGGAGCCACCTTCTACGGAACATCAAACAAGGTCGCCGCTTGTGTTTCATGAGGCCAGACCGGTTTAGTTTAAATCTTCACGTTTTTCATACCAAAAGGTAAAACCAAAAACGATGCGAAAGAAAGACTGATATTTTTCGGTTCTTACAGGCATTGTATACATGTGTGTGTGTGTGTGAAATATCAAAGCAAAAGATCGGTGGGAAAAAGTATTGAAAAATCAAACTAATCCGGTGCATTACAATTTGAGCGATTTTCTCTTTTCTTTCTTTTCCAATTTTTCCCTTTCTTTTAATTCCTTCTTTGTTCGTTTTTCCATCTCCTTTCGTTCCTTCTCCAACCGTTCTCGCTCTTTTTTCTCCGCTTTTTCGCGCGCTTTTCGTTCCTCTTTGGTCTCCGGACGAGCCGGTATACTGGGCGTTACGGCCGGCAAGGTGGCCGCTTGAGACATTCGCATTGAATCATACTGTTCTGGAAGAACCAAATGTGGGCAAAAAAGAAGGAAACGAAAAAATATTACGTATATTCGTTTTAACCACTGTTCCAAAAAGTCACAGTTAATTAGTTCATTGATAAACTGTCCTAGCTTCAAGGATAACAGATCCCATAGTTTTCCCCATTATTTTTCTTGAGACCGGCTCTTGCAATCAACTGAGCTCGAAAACATTTCGTACATTTAAAGATTGATGTTTTCGCTTAGCGGTTTAATGGGTATATCGAATACATTTCCGAAAAAAAGTGATCATCATTATTATCCGTACAGAGACCAATATTTCTGGTGCGTGTTTGTGTAGTGGATCAAACCAGGTGAACACAGTCGTTCCTTCTGTTCCGTAACCCATCCAGTTTCTCCTCAGTTATGATAGATGAACCTGTTAATGCACAGTAGGCTGATGTTAACCACCCCAGATGACCCAAGTAGATATTACTTCGGAATGGCATTTCTGTGGATTTGGTAAATATCACCGTTGAAACGGAGAGCTCGCAGTCCGCAGTAAGTCGGTTTCGTTTACAACGCCACAGTGACGTATCCGAGTACCCTTTCATTTTTAGTATTTTACGGTCTGCGTTAATCAGCAATCTCATAAAGACCACCTTCACAGAAGTACTAAATGGGCGCAGGAGCAGCTGACTGTAAAGGAATAAATATTGTAAACGTATGTTCAGGACTGCTATATTCAAATTAGCGACCGTAAAACTGTTTTGAGTAAAACGATTTCTGGTTGGGCTGAAAGAAATGGTGGATTTCCTGTTTTCAGTGAGTAAGTCCGGATAGTTAAGACGAATGCAGTTTCATAGAATTGTCAGGATACTGAAATTCATCCAAACACAGAGAACATGTTGAACAACCAATCGCACACGCAATCATCGGAGATATCAAGGTATATGGTGTATCAAACGTTCCTCATGAATTCCTGATTCGGTAAAACTATTCACGAATGTTGGATCTGGAAACTCGCTGTGCTTTCGTTTTTTCCCATTTTTGTATTGCGGCTTTTGTATGCTTTTGACTTTCAATGAGAAAAGTTGGTGTGATTTCAGTTAATATTTCTGAAAGATCCGAAATACATCTTATGCAATGATAAAAAGTACCATGTTGAAGGAATGAGATGATTTCTTTTATTCCGAATTGAAATTCTCTCACACGGGCATTCCTGTTGGAAAATTGATATCGTCAGCCCTTGAATTTCTGCAGTTTTATGGTAACGTATCATTTCAGTTTGGGGATAGAATTGAGATATAAACAATACACTTGCCGTTTTTATGGGGATAACTGTAGTTTTCCTGACATCAGCGGTATACAGGAATGGGTTTGCTTTACTGTACCAGAATAGATTCGGACAATCTCCCGAGATAGCCCGGTGAGGGACGTGACTCACGAATACGATTTACTTGTCGGTTGTTTGTCTACAATTTTAATTACAACTTAGTGTGATGATCAACAGATGGGGTATTATCCATAGTCCCGAAGACCCGCTGTTCAGTGATGGAAACCGGGAACCTAAACCCCGAGACTTGGAGTCGCGAACAACATAAGATCCCATTAGGTTAGGCTTGGTATTGAACCGGAAGACGGCAAAGCTGCCGAACACCAAACTCGGGTGGCGTTGGCGGGCTCGAACCACAAGTCGTACGATTCAAAGCACGCCGGCGACAGTGATTGAACCAATTGGATACCACTACCATTCACAAACTTGATTGGCTGTCCACGAAAATGACCTCTCGAAATACCAACAACTATGCCATGTTATGCTAAACAGCTGAATTCAAGCTCGCTCTTCCACATACCATGCCATAAATATACTGATGTATGCGTGGAACGTTTCTCTTCCCTAAACGTCATTCAACCTTTAATTTGATATGATTTCTGACCACGAGTGGCTCATTCTGCCATAAGATGTTCCACTATCTGCTTTTATCTCACAGAAGCCTACATACAACCCTGTTCTTGTGAATTACTGCATACAGCGAGCAGAGATACCAAAAAATAAACTCACGCAATTATGATTTACTTTTAATTCGGTTTAATACACTGTATCAAATTAGTTCAAGAGTCTGTTGAGAGACACTGCTCTTCGCAATTCACATGTCTTCTCAGTTGCAGAAAGATTTGTATTATTTAAAACAATGCTGATCACGTCCTATTTCTAGGAAACGTTTCTTTCCGATCTGGCGTGAATTCCTGAAGTACTTGTCATGCGGTTCAGTTGGCCCTAACCCAGGTATTCCGTTTCCCTGTTCTGCCATCATTGTTCCGTGAAGGGATGCTTAAACTGGTCCTATACAAACACCCAGTTACTGAACCTCGTTCACAAGACACTGTAGAATAACACTCACCTATCTAACGATTGATTTAACTCAGTTTGAGCGATACTGTGCGCACTTTCATCAGTTGCTGAAGGGGGTGAACATTCTACGATACGAGCATGAATGATTTGTAGGTGCAAACAGACCGCCTCAAATTTGAGAATCAGCTTTGTGCACAGCTTTCGGTTCAGTCAGATTATACTGGATTATCAGGTATTATGACAGAAAAACACAAAAACGAGAGAGTTTGTACAAAATAAAAAACAACTGACAAAGTGTTTCATACTTTGTAGTTATCTATTGTTTTTCAATTCGGCGACATAAAGCAAATATTGAAACCTTTGTGCTCGGGTTGTAAGCGACCGTAAGCCACATTGCACGGAAGGTGCGACTGCTTATCGCGGTAACATCGTGCAGGTGAAAAGCGCGGTATCAATAGGCCCCAGCACGGAATCGCACCTTGATGCTCTATGCAGTAATGGCTGTTTGCAAAACACATTTTTCTGTTTAGAAATTCTGCAGGATATGACAGAATTCTTTCTAACTCCAATATCCATCCGTGCCATTCTGTTTCTCGCAACTTCGGTGCAGCCTTCAGCTGGTTACGCAACAATTCACCGTCACTTTATACCAATTTTATTTGCGGATTATGTTCACACAAGCTTCACAATCAAAGGATACATTTTTAAGACTCGGATGCTAACCACAGGGTGCTTCGCATTGGCCTTGGTTTTGTTATAGGAGCATGAGATAGATCCGCTGGACAGATGTTTGTCTTCATTTGTACAGATCCCAAAAACAAGACCATTCCTTTCGTGGTCAACACGAACATCGAATCCCTGTTTGGAAAAATTAGCCACTTTGACGTTTGTTTGAATGCTCGCGTTCACTCCAACAACTGCATTTTTGCTTACACGGATCTTGGTTGAACGCATACATCTGTGATTCATATTTGTGTCCAGAAGGGTAGATTTGCTTTCATGAAGACAGGGAAGGATGTTGTAGGAAGACCGAGAGCGGCGTTGTCAGTTTGCTAGATCCCTCTTAATACGGCAAGAACAGGGTTGCTTTTTATGAATTCCAGTAGAGTTAATGACTGTCTAGCTCTATATTGTAGTCTCTAATTATCATCTTTTTGCTCAACTATGATATCGTCTCCGGTTGAACTCGTTTATTCCTTGCACTGCTCACAGAGTGCTTCTTTATTATTGACAGCTGTTTAGCCTTTGGCTTTCTTACCCTTCATTACATTTGATCTAAAATATTCAAATGTCTCTCCCACTGAAGGCAATGCTACTCTGAACAGGATAATCACTAAGCGTTCCGATAAATTCTCCCTTTGTTGACCCTCCCCCAGGCTCTTTTAACAATTGCTGCCTTCTTCGACTTATACCTAAACTTTGCTCTGCCTCAGCTTTTCATTTTCTTATTCAGTCGAAGCAGGTTGGCGTTTCTCTGAGAAGTCTTTCAGCGAATAACGCTGCTCTCATCAATCGGTTTCTACATACCGCCGCAACATTGTTGTTTTTCTATCCTTCCCTATTTTCTGTGTATCTTTCCACCGAGAAACTGAACGCTTTTCTCGCGAAGATATAATAGCTTCAATTATGCCTAAGTTTCTCAGAAAATAGAAGAAGTTTCTCCGTAAATCACAATTTTTCTGCGGTACGCTCACTATCCTACCAAATTAGATGTGAAGCAATGCGCCCCCATTGCATTATTGTCTGGAAAACTCTTGGAAAGTAAGAGCGGAACACTGGTTTTGCAATTGTTGCCTTGATAAACTATGAATGCAGGCAGTTGTTCCTGATTGCCCATCTCTTGCGCTTGTTAAGTATGCCAGTGGGCCATTAACTGTCATGATGAAGCCCCCCGTCTGTGAATCTGTTGATGTCTGAATTCCTCGAAATCCATGAAAAACTGTTTATTTTGTCTATATCCCTGCAATAACGACCTATAGCATTTTATCGAAACGTTTCCTTCGATTACAATCAGTCGTCTCACACGAACTCCTACTAAGTGTGCTAATTATTAGTTGTGCGTGCTCTTCTTTAACTGTCCTTCAGGGTCCTCTCCAGTTTGCTCAGTAAACAAAATGCTCTACTTTAGACGAAGTATCATTTACTTTTCACGTTTTCGCTTAGTCTTTAAATCTTTCAACGAAGTAAGGTCGTTACTTATAACTTGATCATCCTTCTCTCTTGGAATCTGTCCCTCGATTTTCCCTTCTACACAAATAATGGTCGTCTTGAATAACTGCAGTTCAAAGGGGATTATATGAGCCAACTAGTAAGAAGGTATATATAGCTAGTAAATGTTTTGCTGCCAATCCGGTGGTTTGCATCAGGTTAACCCAGTTTTATAAGACTTAAACACGCACTCGCTGTACGCCAAATCACACGTAATCTATGAATTTCGGTATCAGTGTGGAGTCACCTAAGTTGCGAGAACGGAGAGGTAGCTGCATATCCGGGTGACCAAACACAAGGTTCGAACGGGAACGGATGAATTTGAGCGTTATACAAAAAACCAGTCCGTCAAACCTATCACTGAAAACCTGTATCTTTATCTTCTTATGATCCGCTGCAGATGTGTCATCAATCCGATAGAGGGGCAAGATCCCGGATTATATGCACAAGCTCAAATGAAAAGCTATTGAAGATTTTCAGAGGCCACAGTAATCACACAGTAAAGCCCGTGCTGTTTAAGTAGATGGTCTACATCAGTAAAACAACCATCTGCGGGGAAGAGTGAATTGATATCATGCTAGATATTATGCAGTAATATATAAATTATTTCGTGTTTTGTAGTAAATACCAAATGATATTCAGTGAAATGATTTTGCAATTAGATTGTGGCCATTTACACTGTTGTGTTCTTTTTTAAAGGTTTTCGTAAAATTGTTTCTTTAATCCTCTAAGTAAAAGTTACAGGCTGGAATCAAGATATTAGAAAATGGCTTTCATGCTGACCGTAGTTGTGTGATACGAAAACCCATATCACTTGGAAAGCTGTCCATCTTTGAGTTGTTATGAATGAGCTCCTTTTGGAGAGTGTCCGGGATGCTTTCGTTTAAAGCCTTAAAGTTAATACTGTGAATGGTACACCGAGTAGCTCAACGAACACAACGTGGAGGTAAATTTATAAACTGTCAGGTTATGAGTAATAGTGACATAGGTATCCTAGACACAAAATAGCGGTTGGTGTCGCGTTATTGAAATACAACCAATACATGATACCATATTCAAGGGAATAATTCCTGGAGTGAACCAGTTATCCAACATAGGACTTGCTCCATCTATCTAACCAAAGTGATCATTGCGATGTTTATCCATCCATGAAGTTTTCCAAACTGGTATGTTTATACCTCCTCTAGTTATCAGTGCATCTCTCATTTCAAACTTAGCTGTTCCCATGGCCTACAATAAGAGGATCTCATTCATCTTCGCCGTGGCTTAGCAATGATGCGCTTCCCACAAACAGTAGCCATAAAACTGGATTATCTGCATATAACCCTTTGAGAGAATTTCTTACAGAATTTGCATAATGTAGTCTCCCACTAGTTTCCGACGGATCCAGTTTTCCCTGCTTAGCATCCAGTTTAAAATGTACCTTTGTTCAAATGTAGCTTATTTAGCTCACTGTTCACCTAAAAAGAAGGATCAGCACAAAGTAGTTGTATATCTACAAGGATTGTCCTTTGCTCATGTTCTAGTATTTTCATATATGATCTTTCATCTTGTTTAACCCTATGTAACGAAGAACACCGGTTTTGACTGCAGATGTGGTTGGCCAAACAAGATCCTGCAGTAAGTACAATCCAACCCCAGATGAATAAATGCAGTGTAATTTAGAACGAATATAAAAATGGAGTTGATAAACTTGCCATTCCTTCGACGGGCAGCAACAAAACAGCATCATTAATTTCGATCGATTCATTAATGATCTCATTGATGGTCACATCAACTCTTGTTTTAAATTTGCTCATTAGATTCTAGATGACCCTTTTCATCCAATCTATCCTGGTCTCGTCGTTCCCATCCGTCCACATGCTCCTCATTTCTACATCTACCCTCTCACATTAATAAAAAAGTTTCCTGTACCCTACCTGGCCCGACTATCTACCAAAAAGGAACAGGTCTCAAATGAACTACATCAAACGTTTTCTACATGAAACAAATATAACCGACATTCTTTACCTTTCGTTTTTATTATTATTATTATCATTTCGTGCTGCGTGACGAACAATGCACGTTTTAACTGAAATGTAAGCATATATGCTTACACAAGTTAAACAAATAAAAATACAGAGAACAGAATCAATCATTCTGGGAAGGACAGACGAGAACGCGTACAAGATTGGTCTTGGTCTATCCCTCAGATTGGTGTGACAAGACGAGAAAGGGCATAGGTTAAGGTTAGAGGGTGATAGAAGAATATACATCTGGCACCAGTTCCGTTTGTGGACAGGATCAAACATGAGCACAATTATCCAACTGAACAAGACTTGAGCGCAAACTGAAACGCCGTACATTCAACAGGTTCCACTTGAGGCGATCGTTGGCTATTGAACGATCACTATTAAATCACCCGATGCATCTTTTTCATAAGGCTTCTCTCTTGGAAGGTAATCGTACCTTACCGATCTAAGATGCAACATCAGGACTTCTCATGATGTTCATATATAAATTAAGGTTTCCAAATGGGATAGGGGCTCAAGTCTAACCCAAAACAGTTCAAATTCGTAGTCATCTATCCCTTGTAAGAGAGTGTTTTTGTCCAATCGAGAATCACAGCATACAAATGAACTACTTACCTGCAAACGCGTCCAGCCTTGGTGGAAACACATTGGTGTGGAACTGTCCACGAATATTCCCCTTGGGCATGTAATGTGCCACAATGTAGCATGCGCAACCGTCAGCACTGGTGGCTTGACCAAAACCAACAATCTTCGTGTCTTTCCAAATCATTTGCGTGAAATAGCCTATCGACAAACGGCAAATAGCGAACGCAGCAAACATCAAACGAATCTGGCACGAATGTGATGACGGGCTCTATTACGAACGAGGCGTATAGTTATCCAGCAGTCGTTGAGCGCGTGAATGACAAGAATCAATGAACAGTGAGTGCCGTCTACACATGTTTACCACATTGTTTTGTTTAGTGATGACGAACCTTTCGGTTTGAGACAGTTCTCGATAGCAGTCGACAAAAGCAATCTCGCTCGTTGTATGCCGCTTTGATTCCAATGACCGCCGTGCTCAGCTATTATTATCAATGCATCATAAAATAAAACTGGCATCAACTGTCTACGTTGTTCTCCCTCGGAGAGTTTAATTGGTGAATAGGGCGCCAAACGATTGTCTGACTGAGGTACGTTTTATCAGCAGAACAATCTGGTTGATTGGGACAACTTCCCAACTGCAAACATGCTTTCTGAGCTTGTTCAATTCCAAATGAAATCATTTAGCACGAGAACAGTTTTCCACACTACGCTAATTGCAGAGTATGATCTTCCAGAAATTCGTCACGTTTTAAAATACTCCAATGGAGTAAATTGAGACAAAGAAACCATTAGAAATTGTTTCCCTGGATGATACAAAGTATGCAAATAATTCAGTAGCATAACCAAAAAACCGTATGCACCCTTAATTAATCCCTGTGTATAGTTATTCGCGAAGATGAAATTTCAAGGGCCCCAAATTCAGATCAATATCCGGATCCCCTATCACTGCTCACAACTAACTGTGAATTATACGGCAAGTGGAAAATATCAACAATATCGGGTCATATTGCATTCGTCTGCATACTATACTGCGTGGATATATAGCAACCCGTTGAGGAAAGAAAGCGGAGGTGAATTTAATCAACGATTACCGTGGCGACAGAAACTGCATCACAAAGGTCCTCAGCATGCATAGGTCAGGCTTCAAACAACTAATGACAACCCCTTCGACAAATCTAAGCATACTTGGGTCGCGAAATTTGTGGATAACAAACCCATATTTCTGACTTCTATATTAATAACAAGAAAAGCCTTGAGTGTGTCAATGCAGTGTCTGGTATGCAGTAAGTGTCGTATCACAGCGATTGTTGAATATTTTGATACTAAAAGTGCCACTTTTTTTCAAAACACGCTCACACATTCTGGTCTACAGTCCGCGTTCAATTCTTCGGGATTACCGCAAACCTCAAGTACATTGCAAACATAGATGAAAACTAGAAATGACTGAATGGTGGGATTTGCATGTGTTTGACCGAGTTGGTGAATTGATCATCCTGCAAACCATTATCGTCTTTGCCGCAGGATGGATGGACGTAACTGTATTAAGAATTTGATGACCAACCCGTGCAATTAAAATTATGTCAACGTCCACATATGGTATTTATTTTGTAACATTCCAACTTAGTTAATATGTGTAAACCGCTGACTATGAGCAAACGAAATTGATGGCCACTATCAATTTTGCTCATGTCGTGTTATTTGATACATTCAAAAATGTTTTATTCGGCCTCAGTATTTCTTATGGATGAAACAAATCTCTGAAATCCGAGAAGACCTGTAGAACTGGACAAGTACTCCTCCGCTGGAATAAGTCAGTCTGTCAGCCAGCCAGCCTGCCAGACTGTCATTCAATATTGCCGTCAATCAGTCAGTCAGTCAGTCAGCCAGTCAATCAGTTGATCATTCATGTTCACGCGACAATTTTACATCATTCATTAATAAGTCAGGGAGGGATGCAAAAAAGCATTCGGAACTTGACTGTTGTGATACAAGTGTGCTATAGACAACCACGAATACAGGAGAAATCGATGCCTCCAGAGTGAAACAAAAAAAAACAACTTACAGGTTTCATATGTCATTTCACCATCATAGTCATGGAAATCGATCTGGCTGTACCACATTTTTGATGCGTCTCCCCCTGGAAAAAACAACAACAAACATTTGCAGTTTAATGCATCTATACAATTCTGTTCTGCTTTGTCTGTTCTGACCTGAAGCGCTTGCTAGGGTACATGAACGAGTAAATTAAAATGAGAGTACGGCATGCTAAAATATGCTGTCATTCGTTATTACACCCGCTGGTTTTGACGCGCAACCCAATGTCGCGTTGATTTGAAATTACCTTTAACTGAAATCAAGTTGACCACGGCAACCGAGTGTGAATTTCAACTCCAGGTCCCGTGTCAAAACTGCGAATGGCTGAAAGATTACACAAATGTTTCAAAACTACTAGGGTTAGTTGCGAAATGTTAAAATATTTGTACATCCAATGTGGAATCGTACGTTCCAAGCTTCTCGTTAAAAATACTGAAAGTGAACCAGATTAAGTCAAAATAAGAATGTTCTACTATCGCGCAAGTACATTTATGACAGCGAAACATGTTTCAAAATGTGAACACTTGAATGGATGCCTCCTCAGTGATTCAGCGTGAAGCATATATCCAGAGGTCAGTGAAGTAGACCGTCTTTACTGTGAATGATGGTTTTTACCAGGTAAGAGTTGCGCTATGGAACAAGGAATATNTAAAAGGCTGATAAGGCCACCTGAGAGGACACGGATGGCAGAACAGCGTGTAGCATTGTTTGATGTGAACACGATCTGGGGTAAAATTTCACGAAAAAGGAGAAATTCTCATCGCCATGTAGAGGTATTTTACATTCATTAAATTGCCAAGTTTCATAAATTGGATTGAGACTCTGGAAGTTTTGACTTTGGATGATTGGGGTGTGCGTTTGTGTGGAAGTATCGAGTTTCCAGAAATACCAGATGAACAAGCAAAGCCCTGTTACAATAAGCATACATCTTCTGCCCATACAGCTCGAAAGGGTATGCAAATAGTGTGACCAATGAAGACGCTTATTTAAGCAGCAGAAAACACTGTTGACATGGATATTCTCACAACAGAATTCGGAAATCGGCATAGATAAACTGGCAGTGTATGCATTAAGGAGTGTTGTAGGTAAAAGACCGCATTAAACGTAAAGATGAATGAGGAAGATAGCCTGTCAGAAATTAATCAAAGTTCAATTTAAAGCAGCAGGATAAGCGACCCTATCAGGACCATAATCCCAGAGACGAATATTAGATTTCCAACAGTTTCAGTGATTACACTGGACCCACAGCGTCAACCGGAATTATTTGAAAAGTCTCAGTTAACAGTACTAAAGTGTACTCATATAGCTCAAACAAACCTGGAAGTTTGCAACCAGCAACGACACGGTAGTATTTTAATTTTCCAAAAGGGATAAACATAACTTGAAAAATACCATACTGTAATATCATGACTACAATTCCGTGATATTTGAGCAATTGACTGGTTGAAGCGGAACGCTGATTAAACCCGAAATATGAACGTATGTAGCGTCGTGAACAGACTTGTATATGAAAGAAAGCCAGTTTATCACACTGTTGTAAAGGTGAAGAAGGTGAAGTAGGTATTATTGTAGGTCAGTTTCTGTGAAGCATTCATAATTGTCGGGTCGAGCGTTTAATTCTGACAAAGATAGACGCGTTGGAATTCACAAAGAAAAAGGGTTTATCTCTGCCGTAACATAATATTCTTACATTGAAAGCTCACTGTAATAAATAGCATAAGGCGAGGAGCAACAAAGCCGTTTGACTCATTATAATAAATGTTTGGGAAAAACGTTTCAATTAGTTAGAATTGTGCCACACCATACACATCGTTTTGTTTTCGTGTGTTGTTTTGTTCCCATTAAGGAATCAGATGATTAATTACGGTTCAGTGTGCCTGCTCTCTTTTCTCCATTCAGTCAGAGTACTTTTCCGGTAGTTGAGAGCATTCCCTGTTCGACTATGTGACCATCGACCGTCTACCGTCGATGAGCGTGACTTCGGCTTCAACCGGCTTCCAAGTGCACGATGCTATCGATGCATATTTGGCAGCCAAACTAACTGTGACCCTCACCGATAATGACACTGAGCTTCATGTGGGGCTGATAAATACCATCACAAAGTCAACATTCTTTATTTGTTTAATGTTCCATTCAATGACGATAAATTTGGAATGTTGTGTACTGGACTGTATGATTTGTTCCAAGGTGTATGTGGAGAAACGGGGATGGTTTATATATGTGTGAATGGGTCGACGAACCATATTAGGTTGTATAGTGTTGGTTTATGGCTTATTTATGTTGTAAATTCATCATTCTGGGGCACCTGGTAAAACTATTTCATTCTTCCAATTGATTTCTGCTATCTGTGGAATGTCATGGCTAAACTATTTGATTGAAATAAATGAAACACCACTGCTTGTTTATAAATGTCGCTCTGTAGGAGACAGTCTCTAGTTGAGCAAAGAATAAATGGGCAGGGTTGAGCAGTGACGTGCCGTGTGATGTTGACTCACAGACTGGCTGACTGTGAGTAAGGTTATTTAAAAATAGATCGCTTTAAACCAATGTGTCTCACGTGCCGCTGAATGGTCTGCAAAGTACCAGGGAACTTGTGTTAGATTTCAGCCAGGAACCGGTGCATACTAGTTGAATCTCTTAGGGCTGGTATACGGTAGCAGACGTATACGCGGTCAGATCCACAGATAAGTCGTGGTGTGGTATATAGGCATTGGATAGCTGGTTTGAGATATATGCAGTATTGATTGTTTCCATCAAGAATGAAACGGCTGTCTAATGGTTGCTCTAATTTTAGTAAAATTTGTGTCACACATTGAAAAGGCGCAACTAATGGCATTTTAATCATTTGGGATTAGCGAGTAACACTAGCAGTTTCTCAAAGAACAGTAGCCTACTAACCCCTGGTGATCTCACATATTATTACTGAAATCAGTAATGCCGTTCCTTTTAACAATCCCCCCACAAATCTCCAACCTACATTTGATAACATCCTCAATGCTTCCCCTGGAACCATTCTTACCCTGAGCACCTTTTCCAAACCGACAAAACGTTTTCGGTTGCTAAACGTTTTTATCTCCATCAAGTATAACTGACCGTAACACTCTAACCTGAATGCAAGGTTAATTTGAACCACTTTTATGTCTTGGCAATACTGCTGCATTCCCCAAGACAGATTTGCTTCAACACGACTCTTTTAGTCTCATGTTCCTATAGGTACGCACTCACAGTTCTTTGTCGAATACCATATTTTACACATGGAACTTTGTGAGCACTGGTTTTTGTGATTTATCGGTGCACCCCCACACAAAAGCTCCTTGACAATAGTCCATAACACATAACGCCCATGTTTATCGAAAATCACTGATAAGGTTTCTTATACCCCAATTTCGTTCGCCCGTTCTTTATTTCTACATTGTCGGCGCACAATTCCCTAAACTCAATTCCGAAACTGTTGTGTTGCGATTCAGTTATCAACCTTATGGAATATCAGTATTGACACTTTTAAAAACAACGGTGTTGATTGTTCTTTTTGTAGCTCAGATAGTATAACCTGATGTTCAGTTGTTTGCCGAGGTTGGCAAGTGTGTTGCAAACGTTTCATCACCAACCTCAACCGTGGAATACTCTAAATTGTCGTTCTGCGTTTGGCGTCCATTCCTGCATAACTCGCTGATTTTCCTCATGTGGACACTACGGACACTTCTGGTATACCATATCATATTTGACATCGTTGGATCTCTTTATCAGTGAAAGACAATAACGATGTTCCCTAGCATGCCTCATGCCTTTATCCGCGAAGTTGTTGATTAATATAGTAATTATTATTATACAAACAATGTGCAGATAGATGAAGGGGGAGCAAAAAAAGTTGCAATGGAAAAGTGGCAAGTGTTTACGAGGGTTGTCTTCATGGGATTCGAGCAAATCTTCCGTGGCCATAAGTTGCTGACCTTCGCTATTTACATGAGCTTGGTGGCTTGTCTTTCTACCTTGAAGCTAATCGCTTCCAACCGCCATCACGCACGTGAATCTCCCCCTGCGGTCTGACAGTGGAGAACACTAGTGTAGAAAATTCCAAACATCACTCCGCCTTTCCCACCTTTCACAACATACTCGGTTCAAAAACACATTCGGTTGAATTGCGTCGATTGCACAAACAAGCACCTATATCCTGATCATGATAACGATCACAGCAATGTGACCACGGACGAATTTTCGATAGGAAAACCAGACAGAATTATTATTCACTACGCACTTCATTATTTTTATACGGATGAACCAGTAGTTTGTTTTTCCTCACTGTTGAACTAAATTTAAAGTATTGTACACCGACATTTCGTACAATGTTTCAATTGGGTGGCTAGAAGAAATCCGCAAATTGAACGAACAAGAAAAGTACTCCATGTGGTGTACCTTGGTATAATTCTATGAAACACCATTTCTTGGTCTCTCAATGATGACGATTCCTCAAGAGACCCACGGTTTGTCCTTTCTCTGATTCATTATTAAAAATCGTGCCGTTTCAGAAATGGCTCACCTCAAATTTGTGACTGTGTTATTATTCCACTCCTTTTAGTTTCTGTTGCTTGTCTGCGTTATCCATGGACCCACAGGTGAAGGGTTTTACCTTATTCTGCAGACCCCTTTTCAAAAGCAAATGTGAAACGAAGTGTCTTGGTTGATTGTACCTTTTGCGATCATGATGAAGTTTGTGGAAAGTTGATTGATAGCGCCGTGTGTGATGCAAACAACTGTTTTTTTACGAGCTTGCAAAATCAGTGTTGAATAATACTATGCGCTGCAAACTGAAACCCTTGCTTGTTCTTACTATCACTTGCAGGAACCGTATTACTCTTAAACTCTTTCTCCAACACAGACCGTATTGGGATTGTATGTTCCAGTTGCACTAAATTGGCTGTGCTTACGACATTATTTCACGATGCCAAAGTTTAGGACAAACTGCTTATTTTTCAGCCCTCAGATGTAGAAAATTGAATTTTTTCTTGGATTCACCTGAGGTGATATGCGTTGACACAAATGGCGCAGCACATCAAATCACATGCGACTAAGTTATGGAGTGTTCTACGGGATTTTCTAAATATCAGGGTCGTTGGTATTTTATAACACACTGGATAGGGTGGTCATTAATAGATGTCATTTTAATAGTTACTTTTCGGATGGAATAAAAAGTCGCATTTGAACAATGAATACTGCTTGGTGTAGGGTAGTTTCTTGTCACTGTTTCTGTTGGATTAGAAGTTTTGTTTGAAATAGGCTACTTGGTATTCTTCAATTGAGACCTCACTGAACACGGCTGTAGACAGCTTATACAACCTGAGGTTACACTGATGATTTTGCCTAGCCTGGCTACGGAACATCTGCGTACAACACTTCCAGCTCGGAGAAAACACCAACACCAACATATAACACCATAGTTTTCTATAATTCACAGTTTGTAGGGGAATAAAAGAATGGGTGAGGAACACTTACCACCAAAAAATGTTTCCTTCGTGACACCCATATAGGCCAAATTTTCCCCGTATGTGGTTTGATCACTGTGGCGCATGCACTGATTTAGAGCCAAATCTTCGGCCCACTTCTGTGCCGATCGAGACAGAGCAGAGTCGAGGGTCAACGGAGGGCAGCCATGCATAGCCCGAAACCTATGATGATAGGTGAGGGAGGTGAATATATTGGAGAAAACAGAACTTGCTTTNTGAATGTGGGCAAAGTAATCATCATTACATCACAACCATTAGTGATGCGCTTATAAAAAGAGTCGCCTTTTGAATTGAACATAAGTAGAACTCGCTACGTAACTTCTGCGTGCTGTAAACAGAATAATTAAATTTATTTAGTGAATAGTAATATCTCATCATCTAAAATATTTTAGCACTGCATTTACTTCATTGTGTCTTAGAGGATGAAAGAGGTCACATCCTATTCTTCACCCCAAGTCACTTCCGATTCCCATGTACCACATAAGGCCTGCATATTACCTCTTTGGATTCACTGGACAGCTATTATTCTGGACGATCTAAATAAAAAAACCTCGGCTTATCTCTAGACCCCAGATATTCTGGAATATAGACCTTTGCCGTAATGGGTACACTGTACAGTCTGTCCTAGATCGGTGCGGTAAATCTATGAATATCTCTCTCATAAGCTTGTATCTGACGATTCTCACTCCCTACCCGTTTAGCTTCTTCCTACTTCCTTTCGCATCCACCTGTTACCACCAAAAGACCATCTATGCGTGCACTGAGGTTCACAAGAGTTCTGCATTTCCGTACTAGGTTCATTGCATCGGAATTGAATATAATATTATTCTGCATGTTATTTGGTGTTGCAGTTGGATTATCCGTAGATCCCGCTTATCATCATTTATTATCCTATTACTCGTTTTTGTGATGCATTAGGCGATTGATTGGTTTAGACAAAATGGCCTGATATTTGCAATCCTTTGTTGTTCCACTTGTTTCCCGATAGCTGCTCACTTACCTCCTTCCACTTGCATGCTACAACAGTGGAACCCCATGAAAATCTGAGCCCTACTGCCTCAACTCCTCCTAGCGGTGGACGTGCAGTTTAGCGTAGCATTAGCAGCAGTTATAAACAACAATATCTTGGGAGAATAATCTATGTGAGGACGTGAAGCTCAAAAGATGTTTAAAAGGTTTGTCCTCTTAAGAAATGGAACATTGTCCCAACTCCATACTCATCCATTAAAAGCCTATTGATCGATAAAAAGTCAGCGACATTACCGACATTACGTTGTTGCAGATAGAATCTATCTGAGTGCTCAAGCGATATACTTTTTATTTTTCAATTTTGTTCCGCTAGTAAGTGCATATGGAGGTGATGATTTCAACCAATCTCTTTTAAACTTCCAAAAGTGCTAAATTAGAGGAACCGAGATACATTTCTTAAAATGTTTACAATGATTTTATCGTATACGCAAGAAATCTGTGGGCCGAAGTTGAACACCATTGACCAGTTGCGGGTGTAGCTCGATGCTAGTTTTTTGGAAAGAAATCCACGATAGTAAGAAACCTCTGCTGCTGCGTCTGGGAACTTTCAAATTTTTCACGGGTCTTTGGACTAGAGGAAGGTAATTTACTCACAGTGTCATTATTATTCATTTTGCCGCATTACTTTAATGACTCTAGGGTACGTAAACAAATAGTTTCCCACAATTTAACGATATTTGTCAGGACAGGTAGTGGTTGAAGGGATTCTAAAGATGGTCCAGGCAAAAACTAGCTTGAGGTTGTGGAAACCCTGAACAGCGAACCTAGACATGGGAGTCATGTTAGGCTCCCCGATTGAGGGCCTCGGGATCAGCGTAATCGATAGTTTGATAGACTAAATTATGACGCTTGATCATTTACTCCTTGTCCTTGCATTTCCAGTCTACTTCAGTTCTCTATTTTTACCTGGAAGCTGCTTTCAGTCTACCAGTTTTCCCTCCACTTCTTCATTGAAGTAAGTTTCCAAGAAACGAAAACCGAAACCACCGCAAGCAGGTGCATGGTTGATATTGTATCATTCTACGCACAATGGAACCATTAGTCTTTCAGTTTGTTCTATCTCGACTATTCCTCAGTATGATAATCAATTCGTCGATCACTACTCTTACAAAGGCTTGACCCTTCCAACTACCGTAAAGTCTGTTGCCCTAACCCCACTGAAGCTTCAGCTGAAGAAAAAAGGCCGGTCATTTATACAAGTCAGCCACACCCTTGCGCATTTTTCACATAAATTTGCAATATAAAATCTCGTTTCTGTGACAGGTGTTTTGCATGTATGCTAATGATATTGTGCTGTGCGAACCCATCCTCCTCCGAACACTTATTTAACTGATAATATTTCCTGCATTCAGCAATCGTTTATCCTGTCCACGCATTAGTTCGAATCCACAACCATGCGTTCAAGCCAAATCAAGCCTAATGAAGAAACGCTTTATGCACCCAAAGGGTGAATTTTTAGCAATTGAAGGATGATATGAATTGTACTAAATAATGACAAATTTTTCCGAGTTCTTCCCTATGAGCAATATATCGTAATAAGAGTTCTTATCTAAAGTTAACTCTGTCAAATAACATGGTGTGCATTTGGATGATGATTGCTTTGACTAAGTTATATTCACAACTGTTTTGTTGGAATACGACTTCTACCATTTAATCTAGAGATCAAATAGCTTCACAGGTAACAATCATTCAGTTCTACTTTGAACATCAGAGTGTCTTAGTGTTTTACAGGTATTAATCAAATTCGTGCTGTAACTTGACTTTCATAACTTTTGTTTCTCCTAACGCGAAGTGTTCAGATCCCCATTTACGGAATTGAATACGATGTTAACCCACACAAGAGGTGGCATATACGTAATTATCTCCACTTATATTTCCGCTTCCATTAGTCAAATGCCTTTAAAACGTTCGATTTCTCGATTTTTGTCGATGGTTGCCGATGAATTAGTTGTGAAATAACGAAGCCACAGTAAACCAATTTAAATAGAATTTATTTATCAAAATCAGCCACGGAGTGGTTACAGGTATTAAAGTTTCATCTCGTCCATGTTTTATTTGCCCTTCTTCCTTTATGAGCCCTGAAGTACACTAAGTTGACGGCTCAAAACGATCTAATATATGCGGCATTCTAACCACTGACGACCAATGTCGAGGCAGCTAACTTATCCCTATTGAATTCGTCAGATAGAATGAATTTCCCTGCTGCTTTGCATAACACATTTTCCAAATCTGAACTGGAACTTTCGAACTACTAGAAATTTCAATGCGACACTGAAGGGCGCGCAAATTCAAACGGTGATTGGAGAGAACTCAGAACATAGAAGTAGGAGATAAAGTTTGGAATAATTACCCTTTACCCATAGCCATAAAAATTATAAGATTGGAAACTGAAATGTATTTCCCAAAGGAAATCATGTTGCACGAATTTGATCAAAACTTGTAATTTATTACTCTCCGGTTATTCTGTCCTGGCTTACCTAAACCGGATTTGAATGTCTTACACTGCCTTCTAATACAATTTTATATCGTTTTCCAGTTTATGTAAACCAGTTATTTGAGAAGAGTTATAGAGAAGAATCCTCTCTTAAATTTGGGCTACAATTCACTTTTAGCATTTCCACAGAACATCTGTTTCACCTAAGTATTTAATGTGACGCTTTGTTGTGTGTGGTCCTTTCGACTGAAATGTAAACTTTTTGTTGTACACTTTTACATCACCAATGTGTGAGGCCCACCGCTTTTCCGAAGGTGGTTTGTCGTTTATATCGTTTTTTGTTTGGTTGAACATTGATCTTTCTTTTACAGCATATCCAAATTTGTTGATACATTCATTGTTCTACCGCATGACTAAACAGGTAGAGAACACATTGGTAAGTAGAAAATACAACAGTGTATCATTCGAAAGTAATTCTGATTGAATTGGATCAGATATCAATGTAAATTACAGACTCAGTAATCCCTTTCATGAATCTTATTCTGTGGAGTAGAGCCGACTAGTTTATCATTATTATTATTATTATTATTATTATTATTATTATTATTAATATTATTATTATTATGTCTTAGCACTTCTGTGTTAAGTCCTTTTCTCCTGAACAATCAGCCGTGATCCCCTTGAGACATATCCGGACTGAAGAAATATTGTTCTGTCTTTGCCGGTTGAAACTGTGGCTTGTTGCTTTGGGGGATTGGGATGCTAGAATTATTTGTTTATTTCAAGAAATCTCGAACTAAATAACCTTTGTCAACTACAGTTGTGAAATTTTTTAAGATCAGCTAAAGATATAAACAAACCAGTAGGCATTTCTATGCCAGATGTACTCACGATCTAGGTGGAAGAGCAATGCGTTCTGCTGTGGGGTGCGATTCGGTTTAGCCACTTGACTCAGTTTTGTCCTGATTAAAGTGCAAATGTGCCAAAGGTGAATCTTCCGCTCAGCAGTGTGTTTCCGATCTGCTGAATCACCTGGTACATCTCACTGCATTCTCCGAAAAGAATCTTTTTTAGTTTTTCCTCTTCATCTGTTAAATTGCCAACAACCCGTACCAGTAAGACTCTTAAAACTTCTAAAAGTACAAACTCACTGGTAAAATCGGTCCAAAACTCCGCGACTATAAAACAGGATATTCGGAACTCCATTGAAACGATAAACATGGAACCAGAGTGAAACTATTTTACTTTGAGTGTCAGGAATTTAAATTGGTATATACGAGTTTATTAGATGAATGTGCTAATAAACCAAAGTGTCGTCAATATTGTTTTTTACGTTTTATGGACTATCTTAGACGTTTTCTCTTCTTCCTTCAGACCAAATTATCTTCCCCTAAATTTTTGAAACAATACACTTTACCCAAGGTGTCCCAGTAATCATTAGTCACATATTACCTCTGCCGTTTCAATATATTCTTAATGTATCACAATATTCATATTCGTGATCGAATAGATATGTTGTCTAAATTAACGCCCCTTTTCGTTGAAAACTTCGATCGAACTTGCTATCGTCTGTTGACCAATACATCTCCAGCCTTGGCTTAGTTGAATTTTCAAAACTTATTACACCATATCACATTTCAACTAACGAATATGAAAGTTTCTTACACCTTAGTAATGAATTTGTTTATTTTGTATTATT